ATGAATCTCAGATGCCTTCTTCACATTAAAATTCTCAGATGCTTTTATTCACTCCATTGCAACATCAGAAATTACTCAAAATGCTTGATCAAACTAAACTTGAGGATATAAGTGGTACAGCAAATATGACAGGTAATCATACTTCTCTGAAGTGGATTATAGACACTGGAGCATCCCATCATATAGTAAGAGACCATACATGTTTATGTAATTCAGTTATGGTAGAGAATGCAGGTCAAGTTCAGCTGCCAACTGGTACTTCTGCCAAGGTTTCACATGTTGGAGATTGTCACATAGGAGGAGGTGATGTTCTTAGAAGAGTATTGTGTGTACCAGCTTCCAAATTCAATCTTCTGTCAGTGTCTCAAATGACAAAAGATTTGAATTGCTGTGTCACATTTTACCCAAGTTGTTGTGTTTTACAGGACCTAGGATCTGGGAAGGTGAGAATGATTGGTAAAGAGGAAGATGGACTTTACACTTTCTACTCGCAGCCTGGTCAGTATGATCACAACAAGATGTTACAACCACACCATTGCATGACAACCATTCAGAGTGTGGAGGCAAATGCAAATATATGGCATCAAAGGTTGGGACATGTTCCCATGGGAGTCATCAGAAAGATTTCATCATTTCACAAGTTTGGTAATAAGTTTGCTTTACATAAATGTGATATCTGTCCTCTTGCTAGACAGACAAGATTTCCTTTTCCACACAGTACTAGTAGTTCTACATGTGTTTTTCAGCTTCCACATATGGATGTTTGGGGTCCCGATAGAGTTGAAACATATGATGGTATGAGATATTTTTTGACTATAGTTGATGACTATTCTAGATGGACTTGGACTTTCTTAATGAGACTTAAATATGATGTTGTTAGTTTGCTAAAACAATTTGTTGCTGAAATAGAAACTCAGTTTGATAAGAGGATTAAAAGGATAAGATCTGATAATGGCACTGAATTCTTCAATACCAATTGTGATGATTTGTTTAAACTTCATAGCATCATTCATGAGAGTTCTTGTCCATATACACCTCAACAAAATGGGGTAGTGGAAAGAAGAAACAAACATATTTTAGAAACTGCAAGAGCTATCAATTTCAAGCTGGTTTTCCTGACAAACTTTGGGGATTATGTATTCATGCTGCTACTCATGTGTTGAACAGAATTCCTTCTACAACTTTAGGGAATGTATCATCTTTTGAGAGATTATATGGAAGACCTCCTCTTTTAGACTACATGAGAGTCATTGGATGTATGTGTTTTGCCACTAACATTACTACACATGATAAGTTTAGTCCAAGGGCAATTAGAGCTGTTTTGATGGGATATGGTACGACTCAAAAAGGATACAAGCTGTATGATTTGGAAAACAAGAGATTCTTCATTAGCAGGGATGTAACTTTCTTGGAAACAGTCTTTCCTTTTCATGATCACACTCATAAACAGACTCAGCTAGTACAGACTGGAGATATGTTTGATTATGATGTCCTAGTTGCAGATTCTACTTCTTCAACTGTTTGCCAAAATAGTGTTTCTCCTTCTTCTCAGAATTGTGAGGATTGTGTAAATGATTTATCACAAGTTTCATGTGACATTACTCCATCACCTTTAAGAAAATCAAGCAGAAACTCTAGGCCTCCTGTTTGGCACAAAGACTATGTAGTCACAGCTGGTTCTAAGAAATGTAATTACTCTCTTGCATCAGTCTTAGACTATGAAGGATTATCACCTACATATCAAAGTTTTGTGTCAAAGTTTTCTGTTGAAACTGAACCATCATGTTACGTAGAGGCAGTACAAGATCCTAGATGGATAGATGCTATG